AACAAACTATGATTATTATGTTCTTCTTCCCCCATCTCCATCACGAAGGACACGTGAAGATGTGATTTCACTTTTGCAACTAGTTGTCGCCGTTTTGTGTAAATGGGCTGTCAAAAACAAATCTTCGGATTTGGAAGGGATGTGTGGCCCTCTTTAGTGTTCCTTTTGTGTAAATCAGAACTGTTTAGTGTTCATTTTGTGTAAATTAGAACGATTTAGTGTTCCTTTTGTGTAAATCAGAACGGTTTAGTGTTCCTTTGTTTCAGTCAGGAGAAAAAAAAAATAGTTAAGTCAGCTATGTTTAGTGTTCCTTTTGTGTAAATCAGAACGGTTTATTTTGATTTTTAATAATAATATAATCAAATATAATATATATATATATATAAAAATTCCCGAAAAAAAAAATTTAAAAAATATATATCATTTTGTTTTATCTCTCTTTTTTTCTTTTTCTTTTTTTGGGTCCTTTTTTAACAAGATATTTTATATTTTTGCTTCTTTTTAATTAGGTTTAATTTTAGTTTCCTTCTAATGTCTACAACTTGACTTGGAATGTGACTAATATTAATATTACTGATACAAATATGAATGGTGGAAATGGTAGTTGAAAAAGAATAATGGTTATGTCAAAAAATAGTATTTTACATGAAATACACCATTGGAGCAGAATTGCTAAAATGTAGCATTTTGACACTGTAGCACCTGTCAAAATATAGATTTGGCATGCAAAAATGGCTTTTACCATTAGAGATGCTCTAAATGAGCCATAAGTATTGCTTCCATATTTGGAGCATCTTTGGAGCTGGGATTGTTCAGTAGTGCCGTTGTGTCCCCACCAGAGGAGCTGGTGGCATCGGGTAATCGGACCCATCACGTTCATCACCTGGTTACCCATCACTGTCATCACCCATAGCTTTCAGCAATAACCAACAACGCATATGGACTCTGGCTCAATAGGCATAAGAGTTGAAGGACACGGGTACTCAGTTGCAGAGGGAAAGAGTGAAGAGATAAACGCTTTAGAGAGAATCTGTTGAGAGATTTTTTTTTTTTTTTTTTTGAGGGCATTTTAGTATTTTTATATAAAAAAATGGATCAAAATTGATAATTATGAGACAATTTGCTTAAAAGGTTAATAATATTAGAATTTATATGTAATTAATTTTTAATAAAGATGTTAGGGAATTTTTTACACTTAACTCTTTATATAAAAAATTAAGGCAAAAGAGCAAAAAACACCCTTATACTATACCATTGTTGCATAATGCCTCCCTGAATTATTTTTAGAATCAAGTTGCCCCTCTTAACTATTAAAAGCAAGCAAAATGTCCCTTTTAAGACCATCGGAGACAACTTTTCGATCGATAAAACGATAAAATTACTAATTTATCCTTATTTATTAATTTATTATAAAAAATATATAATTCATGGATGTGAAATACTAACAATGCCCTTATATTTTTTATTTTGTTTTTTTTCTTCTTCGGTCTTCCCCACTTTCACCCTCCTCGTGGAAAAGCTTTTTTACTCCATAGACCGGCTTGTCCGAGGTGAGTCAATGTTCAAATTTTTTGTTGTGTTGACCGGACCTGGATGGCGAATATAATCTATCTCAACCGTCCGATGAAAAGATAAGGATCCATTGACCTAGTAGCCTAATAAAAACACGGCAAAGTTACTTAAAAGGCATGTTTGGTTTTGTAAGAATTATTCTTGTTTTTAAGGTATGTGTTGTAAATTTGCCAAAATCTTCCATATATAAATAGTAAGTATATTTATTAATCTGCAAACAAATGAATCCAATGCCATTGATTTGAATTTTTTCAGAAAACGGTAAGAGAGAAAAGTATTTGTAGAGGATGTTTTCACTGCAGAGGAAAAAATATTGTGGATGAAACAAAGTCTTCGCTTCACTATAATATTACAGCTGAATCGGCTCAATCCTAGTCGTCACTCACAAAGCAACCTCAATCTCTTTCTCTCTCTAAAACTCAGTTTTGTTTCTCTCTCTAAAACTAGAAACCTCCGAAGGGAAATGGGTCACCTTATCTCTCAACCATGACCATACGGTTGCCACTCAAGTGTTAATCGCCGGACCAAACAAATTGAGCTGCTGCTAAAAGCAACGACCTCACCGCATCAAATCGACCCTTAAGCTCGTCTCCAATGCTTGGTTGTTGAACCGACTCTCAGCGACAAGAAGTGTGTCAGCGACAGCGAGGATCCGGTCTGTGTATTCGAAACCACTGCTCGGCCTTTGCTCTGCTGCTGCTACTATTGTCAAGATGCTCCATTTTCTTCTCTCAATGATATATCTCGTGGTTTGGAGAGAACCGATGGTTGTCGGTGGTGGGTTTTGTCTGTTGAAGGTTGTGTACAGTGGTTGAAGGTGGGGAAGACTGAAGAAGGAAAAAAGCAAAATAAAAAATTTGAGGGCATTATTGGTATTTCACATCCATGAATTATATATTTTTTATAATAAATTAATAAATAAGGGTAAATTAGTAATTGTATCGCTTTGCCGGTAGGAAAGATGTCTCCGATGATCTTAAAGGAGGCATTTTGCTTACTTTTAATAGTTGACGGAGACAACTTGTTTCTAAAAATAATTAAAGGGTGCATTACGTAATAATGATATAATACAGGGGTGTTTTTTACTCTTTTGTCAAAAAATAAAGAATTTTTAAATAAATTACTTTCTAAATATAAAATTAAATTTTCAAAATCACTCCACTTGATAAGCCTCTTAATTCATAAATCAGGTGTAATTCTTGTTGTATCACTATCCTTGTCAATTAAAATTTTGGTGAAACTAAATGCTTACAAGTCCTAAATAATAAAGACTCCTCCCCCTCCTCGTAAACTTTATCAAATAGGTAAAGCTTATCCTATTTCTATGATTGAATCTCTTCCACCATCACGATAATTGGCGGGACCTAATATTTCACATCAACTCATTGATGCCACATATTGTGTCGGCCACGTTAATTTCATCTTCACCTGGGCCATGGATGGTCTTGGGCACTGACATGACTAATTCCACATTTACCCTTATAATTTGTGTTTCTAAAAACGGACAAAAGTTAAATTAAGCCTTACAATTTGTGATTTGAAGTAGTGTAATAGCTCCTTTATAGCTCACTAACCGCAAAGGGCCTAATTTAAACACCAATAATATCAAACACTCAGCTTAGACGACGTATGTAGGGCTTGTTTGGTTGGGTTTTTTTGTAGTTTCAAAACTGATTTAAAATTTCAGTGGTTTAAAAATTCGATTAACCAAACTATACATTTATTTAAGTAATAAATATAAAATTCCTATATTTTCTGAATTCCATTGCAAACTTTTCTCTTTCGCCTTCTATATTATCTTCTTCGTTAGTTCTTTATCCAAGAATTAAAAAATGTTTGAACAAAATTTCACATATCTTTATTGAAAAAATTATTGCTAAAAAAAATATTCAACAAAAGAAGAATAAAGACGTTGAGGAGTTACAGGAAAAACTACTATTGACTCTCATTTGACTTCAAAATCCCAAGCGTTCTAAAATTTATGAACTCTCGTTCAAAATTCAACCCTATATAAAATTCTAAATAACTTCTCTATCTCTCTCTATATACACACACAATATATATATATAAATTTAGTCACTAATATCTACCAAAACGATGTCACAGGCACCATTGCAAGAACAGCCGGAGCGTGATTTCTTTTCCCGCCAAACAATTGGTAACCAACATTATTGTTGGTCACTAAAGCAGTCCCTTTTTGTGACCAAAATTTTGTTCGGCACTAAAGAATTACTTTTACCAACGAAATTGATTTTGTCAATAAAATTTACATCACAAAAGGTCACTTTTGTGGTAGTGTACGTGACCAAGTCAAAATAAGTCGAATTTATGTGGGCTAATGTCAACAGTCTTTTGTTCCCCACTTGAAAATGATGTGTCTAAAATATATGGCTCAATACAGCTTCATAATCCATCCTCTTTTTTTTTTTCTTTTTTTTTTTTATTTTTTTATTTTTAGAAACAGGAAACCCCTGGGCAGGGCCTCTTAGGGACCCATCCCAAGTTACAAACTTGTGCCACACGCATCGGCCCCTCAACACGCGCAGCAGTCAAACGAGAATAGATAGCTTGAGAAGAGTCGAACACCGACCATGGGGGCTTCATAATCCATCATTGCACCTTATCCCCGCATATGATAAATATTCTAGTCTTTGGAGAAACCATTCCATACAACAACAACAAAAAAAAAAAAAAACTGGCTGAGTGCAAGGACTCATTAAAGTTTCACATAGCTATGTTTCCATGGTTTGCCTTTGGCCACGTGACTCCATACCTCCATCTAGCATTTATTGTGAGACATCAATAAATGCTAAAAAAAAGATTCAACAAAAGAAGAATAAAGACGTTGAGGAGTTACAGGAAAAACTACTATTGACTCTCATTTGATTTCAAAATTCCAAGAGTTCTAAAATTTATGAACTCTCGTTCAAAATTCAAACCTATATAAAATTCTAAATAACTTCTCTATCTCTCTCTCTATATGCACACACAATATATATATATATAAATTTAGTCACTAATATCTACCAAAACGATGTCACAGGCACCATTGCAAGAACAGCCGGAGCGTGATTTCTTTTCCCGCCAAACAATTGGTAACCAACATTATTGTTGGTCACTAAAGCAATCCCTTTTTCTGACCAAAATTTTGTTCGACACTAAAGAATTACTTTTACCAACGAAATTGATTTTGTCAATAAAATTTACATCACAAAAGGTCACTTTTGTGGTAGTGTACGTGACCAAGTCAAAATAAGTCGAATTTATGTGGGCTAATGTCAACAGTCTTTTGTTCCCCACTTGAAAATGATGTGTCTAAAATATATGGCTCAATACAGCTTCATAATCCATCATTTTTATTTTTATTTTTTTATTTTTTAAAAACAGGAACTTCCTGGGCAGGGCCCCTTAGGGATCCACCCCAAGTTACAAACCTGTGCCACACGCACCGGCCTCTCAACACGCACAGCAGTCAATCGAGAATAAATAGCTTGAGAAGAGTCGAACACCGACCATTTCAAACTTGTCTCCAAGCTCCAACCATCACAGTTATGCCCCTGGGGGCTTCATAATCCATCATTGCACCTTATCCCCGCATATGATAAATATTCTAGTCTTTGGAGAAACCATTCCATACAACAACAACAAAAAAAAAAAAAAAATGGCTGAGTGCAAGGACTCATTAAAGTTTCACATAGCTATGTTTCCATGGTTTGCCTTTGGCCACATGACTCCATACCTCCATCTAGCTAACCAACTTGCTGAAAGAGGCCACAACATCTCATTCTTATTGCCAAAAAAGGCTCAACTTCAGCTGCAAACTTCCAATCTTCATCCTCATCTCATCACCTTCCATGCCGTGGCCGTCCCACACGTCCAGGGACTTCCTCCTGGCACTGAGACCGCTTCAGAAATACCCATTTTATTAAATGGTCTTCTAGCAACCGCCATGGACCTAACGCGTGACCAAGTAGAAGCATTGCTGCGTGTTTTGAAACCGGATTTTGTTTTCTATGACTTTGCTTACTGGATACCGGCAATAGCATCCGAGATTGGCTCCAAAACCATACACCACTCTGTTGTTTCTCCATCATGTATGTCATTACTCACGGCATGTAAAGTTCCCATGGACGAGGCAAATGATGATCAGTACTTGTTACAGCCACCACCAGGATACCCCTCTTCCACAGTCTTGTTAAACAGACACGAAGCTCGTACATTCTTGTCATATGTATCGGTAGAGTTTGGCATTGGGTTAAAATTTTATGAGAGACTCACAACTGCAAGGAAAGAGTGCAATGCAATATCTATCAGGACATGTCAAGAACTAGAAGGACCCTTCTGTGACTACATAGGAAGCCAGTTCGGAAAGCCAGTGTTGCTGACAGGACCAGTCTTATTGCCAGCTGAACCAGCAGCAAAAACACGATTGGAAACTGATGGGTGGGGCAAGTGGCTCGATGGGTTCGAGCCAGGATCAGTGGTGTTCTGCGCATTTGGAAGCCAATGTGTCCTTGAAAACGACCAATTTCAGGAAATTATTTTGGGGTTTGAGTTAACAGGACTGCCATTTTTGGTAGCTGCAAAACCGCCCTCCGGTTTGACATCAGTGGAAGAAGCATTTCCGGAGGGGTTTGAAGAGAGGGTTAAAGGGAGAGGAGTGGTTTATGGAGGGTGGGTAGACCAACCAGCAATATTGGGTCACCCATCAGTTGGGTGTTTTGTGAGTCATTGTGGTTTTGGATCAATGTGGGAGGCTTTGTTGAGTGATAATCAGATAGTGCTTGTACCACATTCGCCTGACCAGATCTTGAATGCTAGGTTAATGGCCCAAGAACTGAAGGTTGCAGTGGAAGTAGAGAGGGATGAAAATGGATTGTTTCCAAGAGAGAAGTTGTGCAAGGCCATCAAGTGCGTGATGGACAAAGAGAGTGAAGAGGGTGGTATGGTTAAGAAAAACCACCAAAAGTGGAAGGAGACCCTAACAAGGCAAGGATTCATGAGTGGTTATATAGATAAGTTTGTACAGAATCTGCAACAGCTTTAGCTCAATTTCACATCAAACATGATCAACTGATGAGGATATAACTCGGACACTCATTCATGTTTTGATCCTCTATCAGTCTATTATAATTAAGCTTTATGCAACTATATATATATATATATATATATATATATATATATATATTCATGTTACACTCTGTGCCTGATCCTTTAGATGTGATCTACTTTGCGTTTAATTAGGTAAGTTTTCTACGGTTGGCCAGTTCAGTCTACAATATTGTTGGTACTCGTGTTCCCGCGCAGTTGTTGTATTCTTGATTATGATGTAAAATTCTAGTTTTGTCTAGCTTTTGTTAGTGGTGTTAATTTGCTGTGGTAGCATCTTGTTTATAGCATGTGTTTGCCATGGTTGTATTCATGTTTACCATGTACAATTCTTGTTAATTCAGTCTAAATAATATTGTAGTTAGGGGTGTAACTCGGGCAGGTCCAACTCAAAATAACCCGAGCCTAGTCCGAAATTTTGTGAGCTTGGGTAATGTTTTTCTAATTTCAACAAACATTAACACCAATATCCTCTATCAGTCTATATATTATTTGGTCAAAATTGATGATTAAGAGACCATTTGGTTAAAAGGTTAATAATATTGAAATTTATATACACTTAATTTTTAATAGGGGTATTTCTTGCACATCTTTTATATAGTTTTTTATACTTAACTTTTTATAAAAAAAATAAAGAGTATATAAATAAATTACTTTAAATTTCCAAAATCACTCCACCTTTTTTATCTAACCACTCAACTCAGCAGGCAAACCATTGAACAAAACTATATCTAATCACTCCATTTGATAAGACTCTTAATTCATAAATCAGGTGTAATTGTGGTATCACTATCCCTTGTCAATTAAACTTCGGTGAAACTAAATGCTTACAAGTCCTAAATACTCCGATAACAACTCCTCCTCATAAACCTTATCAAATAGGTAAAGCTTATCCTATAGAATCTCTTCCACCATCACAATAATTGGCGGGACCTAATATTTCACATCAACTCATTGATGCTAGATATTGTGTCGGCCACGTTAATTTCATCTTCACCTGGGCCATGGATGGTCTTGGACACTGACATGACTAATTCCACATTTACCCTTATAATTTGTGTTTCTAAAAACGTACAAAAGTTAAATTAAGCCTTTCAATTTGTGATTTGAAGGAGTGTAATAGCTCTCTAACCGCAAAGGGCCTAATTTAAACACCTATAATATCAAACACCCTGCTTAGACGACATATGTAATTTTTCAAGTATTTCATATTTATTCGACGTTATTAATCTAAAATTAAGTTCTAAAAATATAATTAAAAAGTTATAACAAAAAAAATTCCAATGCATTTTTAATGTATGCTTTCAACAGCATGTCTACATATCTTTTCAATATGAGTGACCAATAATTGAGGTTATAAAGTGTCAAGAAAAAATTTCTTCTCTCTTAAATTCATTTGTTTTTTAAAAATGTGTATGGAACTATGAATAGAGTAATAATATGTTGTAGAAATAATTACAATAATAATTAACACTTTTTCACTACATTTGAATTTTAAAGAATAAAATAAAAAGGTTCATTAAAACTTGAAGGGAACAATATTTCCCTACTCATTGATTAGTAGGCGTAATGTATTGACACTGATGTGGTCCAATCATAAATGTACACATTGTCTTTAATTATAAAATCGAAAATAAATACACAATATAATTTATCAAAAATAAATTATTTTTTTTATTTATTACTTTCTTGATTTTGTAATTAAGATTGGACCACATCAACGATAATTAAATCATATCTATTCACAAGTGAATAGACAAGTATGATCCTCTTAGAAGAGTCCTAAAAATAAAAGAAGAAAAAAATTATTTTCATTGCAAATCACCTTTAATGACCATACATATATAGGTAATTATAAATAGAATTTTTTAAAAAAAAAATTGGGAGGCCAGCTTCAGATTTTCTATATAAGATCTCCATTACTGATCACCATAATTCAACTGCTATTAATAGAATTTTGCAAACAGAATCGGGGGAAGTGCCCTCTGTCTGTCTCTCATCGTATACAAAAAGGTTGAAGAAGAAGTTAGCAACCCCACATGAAAAATGGCAGAATCCAAGGAGTCAAAGTTTCACATAGCCATGTTTTCATGGTTAGCCTTCGGCCACATGACTGCATTCCTCCGTCTAGCTAACAAACTTGCAGAAAGAGGACACAGGATCTCTTTCTTGTTGCCAAAAAAAGCTCAACTTCAGCTGCAACATTCCAATCTTCATCCTCATCTAATCACCTTCCATACCATGACCGTCCCACACGTCCAAGGCCTTCCTCCTGGCACCGAGACCGCTTCAGAAATAACCATTTTCTTGAATGGTCATCTAGCCACCGCCATGGACCTAATGCGTGACCAAGTAGAAGAATCGCTGCGCCTTTTGAAACCCGATTTTGTTTTCTATGACTTTGCTCATTGGATTCCGGCAATAGCATCCAAGATTGGCTCCAAAACCGTATGCTACAATCCTGTTTCTGCAGCGTCATTGGCTATTGCATTAGTCCCGGCCGCATGTATAGGTCCATCAGCAGATGAGTTGATACAGCCACCACCAGGATACCCCTCTTCCATAGTCCTTTTAAGCGGATATGAAGGTCGTGCATTGTCATTTGTATCGTTAGAGTTTGGCCGTGGCGTAACATTTTATGACCGAGTCACAACGGCCATGAAAGAATGCAATGCAATCTCTATCAGGACATGCCAGGAAATAGAAGGACACTTCTGTGACTACATAGGAAGCCAGTTTGGAAAGCCTGTGTTGCTGACAGGACCAGCCTTGCCTGAACCGGATAAAACACAATTGGAAGACGATCGGTGGGTCAAGTGGCTCAATGGGTTCGAGCCAGGATCAGTGGTTTTCTGCGCATTTGGAAGTCAATGGATCCTTGAAAAGAACCAATTTCAGGAACTACTTTTAGGGTTTGAGTTAACAGGCCTGCCATTTTTGGTAGCTGCAAGACCACCCTCAGGTTCGACATCAGTAGAAGAAGCATTTCCAGAGGGGTTAGAAGAGAGAGTTGAAGGGAGAGGAGTGGTTTATGGAGAATGGATAGAACAACCAGCAATACTGGCTCACCCATCAGTTGGGTGTTTTGTGAGTCACGGTGGGTTTGGATCAATGTGGGAGTCTTTGATGACTGATAATCAGATAGTGCTTGTACCACAACTGGGCGATCAAATCTTGAATACTAAGTTAATGGCCGAAGAACTGAAGGTTGCAGTGGAGGTAGAGAGGGATGAAAATGGATGGTTTTCAAAGGAGAACTTGTGCAATGCCATCAAGTGCGTGACAGACAAAGACAGTGAAATGGGTTGTCTGATTCAGAAAAACCATGAAAAGTGGAAGACGACCCTATCAAGGCAAGGCTTCATGAGCGGGTACATTGATAAGTTTATACAGAATCTGCACCAGCTTTAGCTCAATTTCACATGAACAACCACCAACTGATGAGGGTGTAACTTTTGGATAGTCATTTTTAATTCAGTCAAAGTCTATTAGTTTCTCTCTCAAGCTTTTCAAGGAAACAAAATTTCAAAAATAGAAATAAAAAGTTTTTGAAGCTTTCTGTAACAACTATTAAAGAGTACCTGCGGACGAGGCTTAGGTCTTCCATTTCATCAACAACTGTTGCACAAGTTTACAATTTTCATGATCTGCAAGGGTCAGTTCAACACATGCACCAAATCAAGATATCAATAATCTTGAACATCATATACACCAATATAAATATGAAAGACATTAAAGTATGATATATAGTTTCAAAATAACTATGAAAGAAATTAATGTAAGATGTATAGTTTCATTGAAAGAGATGAAAAAACCACAAATGCTAGTTACATGGCACAACATATGGTTTCAATTCAAGAAAGCAAAACTTGGAACGCTTTGCAAGGGAAACAAAGGAAAGCAACTCTTCAATTGATGCTCAAGCAAGAACAGGAAGAACTCGGTTGAAGTGAAACTCACATAGCAAAATTTTGATTTACATCTCTTGATGGAAGTTTCTCACCTAAATTCCGCAAGAAATTAAAAATTACTAACAAGATGAGGCCAATCAAAGCTGTGACAACATCACATCAATTTAAAGGCTGCTTGGTCATTACTATCCACTCTATAAGAGAACAAAGGCATAAAGTCTCGAATTTACAGTGAAAAGAGACATCTTCATCAGGGTCTACCGGGGCCAATACACCGTCTCTGTATATGAATTTCAAATTGAACCCATGCTGAGCATTCCAAGAGGAATTTGCTTCTGGCATTATACTCTCGCTTCTTGAATGACAACTACATTCTGTTGGCATGATTAATCTATTTCCTGAACTTTTACATTGGCACGTACACTTTTCTTGATATTCAAACAAATTACCAATATCACCATGCACCGGTTTCTTGTCAAATGAATTGGCAGAACTTTCAGCAGAACACAATTTCCTTATTGCTGCAAGAAGATTCACAGATAATGATGCAACACCATCATGGACATCCTCTACTGTCCAATCAATCCCTCTCAATCGCCATTCATGGATGAGATATTTCTGCATCAAATTGTGGAGGTTGAATAGGCACCCAGAGCAACAACTATATGAACATACAACCTTCGAGTCGGAAGAGAAACTGCTAGTCTTGTTTGACGAGGGATTGACATCTATATTTAGTTCTTCAGATATTGGGTTGCCATCCTTGGATGCAGTAATAGTTTCATCCATGGACAAATTGTTTCTGCAATCTTCTTTTGTGAAACTAGGAAACTCAACACTATCCACATTAACTGAACCACAGGGACCATCCTCCAGAAGGACTACAGAATCTGTGCATGCAATTCCGTTAGAATGTTGCAAGGGCCCAATGCCTCCATCAGAACCTGTATAATATCCTGGATTTTCTGACCTGCATGGTTCAGGATTGATACCATTCGGTTTATCAGGGGTAGAATGGTGTAATACCATTTGTTCTGCAGGTCCTTCTATATCTGCAACTCTACCCTCAGAATTTGCATTACCAAAATCGCCATCTCCTTTGTTTAAATCAACACATTCAATATTTTTAGCAGCAAACCCCTGGGTGCCTTCTTCTAGCACTTCAGGTTCATGGAAACCATTGTTAGAAACATTTGGCTTGCAGCCATCAATTTGAAGCCGATTATCCTCGCATGTATTATAATTTTGCGGAGATCCTAAATAAGGTAGCTTAGGGTTTGCCACTGCCATTTGTGCATCTACTTCTAAACTGAAATACAAGACATATGTCAGACAAATATTGAATGAAAATTTTAAAATAAACTTTGGGGCACACTGACATAAATCACAACAGTACCTCTTTAGTGTGTATGCCCAGCTATTAACCATATCTTCGAAATGAGCCACTTGTGATAAAAGATGAATAAATTGACATCTATCCTTCCCAGCCTGAACTTTGTCATTAATCTCTCCAGCTAGGAGCTCCAGAACCTTCCGAACATTGCAGGAAACTTCTCCCAGTGATGTGTACATACCTCTGTATGCCGATAAACCAATAGCAATTAGGCCTGTAACTAAACCAGGTGTTTCTTTGCTTTTGATATTGCTGGAGGTACAAGCAACAGCTACCTTCTCTGACAATTTATTAGGACGAACAATACAGGAATTGAACGGCCAACCCTTCCAAGGTCCATTTATATCAGCAGAGGGACCATCTTTTAACTTGGATGTCACCCAACAGAGTTCAGCAAAATGGGGATACCTCAGAATTTGGTAGCCAAACATACATATTGCCAGCAGCAAGCTTGATTTCCCTTTCGCACTCTTACTGTTAGGAGGAAGTGGAACCTTCGTAACAGAAGTGTCAGGACACTCTGTTTTCCTTCCATATCCACTGGAAGAACAAGGATCCGTGCTGTGACATGCCATATCTGCATCCCCTTCAAAGGTGTCACAAGCTTTGTCCTCCTTGCGTGAACTCGTATGAATGTGAATTTTATGATGAATCAACTGAACAAACTGTTGAACTAAATCCTTTGATAACTCTACTGCAGATGAATCAATTACAATATCATGGTTGAATTTTCCATCAACCTGCACGGAGAATCGGGGTACTGTGCCCACTGAGGGAATTGAAAAATTGCAATTCAGTATGTCATTCTTGAAGAACTGCCTTATTCTAAGAGGGAGTAATGAAAATGGCACTTCTGAAGTAGCCTGTTCAAGCAGAATATTAATAAATAATTCAGTCAACTGCAACAAGAATGGTTGCCAAGTAGGATAGAGATGATATATTAAAGGCAATGGCACTAGCAGGAGTGACAAAAACATCATAGAAATGAGCAAGATGGCTAAACGTTGGAAATTTTGAGCACAGGTTATTAACATTATGATTTGGTCCATTAACTCCACTTCAACCAGCCTTCTCACCCTTCACCTGCAATTTAATACCTACTCCCGATAGCAGACAACATTTAAGGAGGGCCGGTCATATGGTGCGTTAACTTCTCCCTTCTGTGACTGACTTGTCAATGGAGAAAATAACTAAATTATTTCCACCACATAAATTCTATAAATCTATAGGGATGAACTCATAAGCATTCAGATTTAGGCCACTTATTAGTGTCCAAAAACCACATCCAGAAAGCAGTTAAGCAAAAAAAAATTAAATCCAGTGAGAGAGGGAACTGTCAGATAAATAAACATGGAGTTACAACTCAGGTAAACATCACAGTCTCAAACAATCCACCTTGAACAAAAAATAAGGGAACAAATTCAGAATGTAGGTAGGAAAAGCACTGCAAAAGTAACTTTCTACTTGTTTACACATAAATACAATGATATATATATATATATATTTATATACAATAATTTGTGAGTTGGTGGATATCTAGTACCAGCATAACCCATGCAATAAGATGAAGTCAGATGGCATAATAGTCGTATAAGTCATACTTTTTCAAGGTTGTGAAAAGAAAATAATAATAATAAAATAAAATAAGGAGAGGCAGTCATACCAGAATCATCAAAGATGCAGACACACACATGGACTCCACCTGCTCAATAAATAAGTTCCAGATATGCGAGGTTCTTTGGATATCATCTTGGGAACCCCTCATCTCCGCTGATTCACATACCATCGAACTAGAGCTCTTATCCTTTCCGACATCACTGTGTGTAAAACAACATTTCTTCTCAGATGGTTCTAGGTTTGTTGAATCAGAATCGCTCTCCTTTTCGCCAACTTGATGGCATGTTTCTATAGCCCACAAATCAATTCTTGGCATGAATATCATGCACAACCCCACACTAGCACATCTCACTGCGACGGAAATCGATAAAATATTGAGCATCTGTTCCAATAAATAAATCTAGAAAATCACTATGACGCACACATTCATGAAAGTATTTCCTCATTCGTGTCAATTAGGTGTTGGCCTTTGAGGTTTTGAGGTTCAAATTTCAATACGATTGGATAAAATATACCAACAATGGAATCCTCAACCTTACAGAAATTCACAAATTGCTAAAACTGCGTGTGACATTTTAAAATTCTTCTTGTTGCTATAGCCAACTAAAATATATTTTGTGAGATACCACCAAAAAGGTACTTTGTGATAAACGAAAACACCATATGCAAAGGCCACAAATAAACTAACAGAAACAATTAAGAATGGAACATTGACGGCCAAATGATTCAAAAGCATATATATAGTAAAGAAAACAACAAGACCACACAAATTACAAGGAATGTAGACAACATCTAATAATAAAACAATGAAGAGAATCATTAAATCATATACAACAACATATTCAAAATCAACAATGAAAATTCAATATGACAAGATGTCAAGAACTTTCAAAGGGAAAAAAGAAGTGAAGGAAAAGATAGATTGCCAGCCATTACGACCAAAAAACTCCACCATTTGAGCAGATAAATGGCAAGAATTGTTAGAATGACTAAGAATGCAACTCGAGAAATCGATTTCTAAGAAAGGTAGATTAGGTAGACTTAATCTTCAAAATTATCTGTACAAAATATTTGCACTCATAGTCAAACCTTAATTATCACATTTAGCAGCCCAATCTTTTACTCTCACACCAATTATCACAAGAGCATCAAATGATCCGCAAACACAAAGAACATAAGGGGAAACTGAGGTACTTCTACAGGCCAACCAATCCATGTTTGAATCCTTGAAGTACTGTGGAAACATATTTTTAAATTCAAGAAAAATAATCAAATTTAACTAATATCACAAATGGAATTATATCGAAGACGAAGAGAGCATGGGATAGGCATCTTTCGAGAACAAACTTCACTTGAATTCTCTCTCAAAATTGTGTATTCATGAATCTTATGCTTTCTAATGTTTAGAGAACCCTGAGCACCTTTTTATAGTGATAGGAATTTTTTGGATGAATTTTGGAAAGTTTAAAAACTTTTTCGGACTTGGAATCGCGTTTTTCACCTACTTTGGGTGCCTGTTCAATCAATTGACACCTTCTGGGTTTTCCTCAATTGACCGAGCTTCCAGTCAAGCTATTTTGGTGTAACTTCGATCAATCGAGATTCAGGTTGCTCGATCGATTGAGCTTTTCTGCTAAACCTGACTGCATATAGCCTAACTTTGGATGCTTCGTTGAGGGGTCAAACGAACTCAAAATTAAGCAAATAATATATTGTTGGAAAGCTTATCATGTCTAATTTATGTGTATATATAAATATAAGACGATAACAAAATTCCAAGTAATTTACTTTTAATGAATTTTTAAGGACAGATCAATTTTTACAACTTAAAATCCTCTCCAAAATCAACTTTTAAACTGGTTTTCAACTTAAACTCAAAATCTACGTTTTCTAACCAGCATTAATGTTACCGAATTCATTCATAGTGAATTAATATTCAACTTTAAATTTATAATTATTGTAATTAATAATTTCAAATTAATTCAAGTTTCCTAATTTATTCACTCTGAATCAATGGTCTCTTAGGTCACTAACCTTCTTTATATTGTGTAATTGATGAATGTTGAAGCAAGATGTCAATGCGATCCTTCGGCTCAATCATCAATCTACAATCATAGCTTCAATGTCGATGTAAAGTGACACCACATATACACCATGACACGACATTTGCTCAATGAATATGCCAACACATGACACTTTCTGTAACAGTGCCATGTAAAATAAGGTGGTTACTTCTTATCGTTTGCATTAAGAGAGGACTGGGAAGCCTAGTTGGTGAACAACATGAAAAAGTTCACAAGAGGCAAGAGAAGAAATTAAAGAGCAAGACACCAAGCGGTAAACATAGCACAATAAAATCAGTCAAATCAAGCTTCAGAAGTCTAGAGATCAAAGCACCCATTTCACTTTCACAAAGCTAAAATAAGAATAGAAAGCAAACCATTGAATTTGTGGAAGTATAATGCAAAACTTTTGAAAATTGAATTTTGTAAGCCAACAATTTCATTTCATGAATCTCTGCAATAACCAATGTAACTCCCAAAACCAAGCCTTGCAATACCTAATCCAATCAATATATCCCAGAATTAACTAGATCAAATTACGGAACATGTGTCTAACATGCTTGTGAGGGAGCAACACTTCCCAAATTCACAAGGAGTTCCATTGTTTACCATCTAAAAATGTTCTAGTGCTCATTTTAGAGAAGGACCAGACAGTATGCAATGCAAAAACATAGTTTTACCCAAAGGTACACGATAAGAAAGAGTGGGAACTCTAAGAATCTAACCCTGTCCCAGCATCCTAAGATTTGAAGACTCAAAGAATCCTTCACTAATACTAAGATTTGATTCAATGAAACAAGGACCTAAATCAACAACAACCACTGGAATCATGTTGGAAGTTTGTATCAAATACCAGTGTTAAAATATTCGAAGAATCTTTGTAATCTGACTTTTTGGGCACAACCAAGTCGCTACACCCAATTGTAACACTAAGACGACGTCCCCATAACCAATATCTGGATATTGAATAAATAAAAAATCCTAAATACATGCAAACACCTTGGATCTATACCTTTTAATTCTATAACTGCAAGTACTTTTTACTTTATTGACAAAATTATGCCAACTAGAGATGAAAAGATAAAGGAACATACTTAATATTTGTGTTAAACCTTGCACCGGATCTCCATGTCCTTCTTGTGAAATTGTAGCCAAATCAACCTTCTGAATTTCGACATTGCCAGCAAAACAGTGGAGAAGGCAAGAAGCAAGATATCTCTGGCCAGATCTGGGACTTCCAGATATCAGTACCCGGAATCCCAACTTCTTTCCTTGCCCAAAAGATATATTTCGCAACAAACTAGTGCGGGCACCCATTTGCAGCACTTTGGAACTGTTGGCGTCAGTAACGGCATCCAAATCATCAAAACCAGCATAACTAGCCTCTCCAATAACAATGCTGGCACGTGAAAGGCAACTCTCAATCTCCTTCGCAACACTGGCTTCTTGAAGCAAATCATGAACATGGGACCACCAGTGGTCACTCTCCACTTTCTTCTTATCCAAAGTAGAAATCATAACACTTTTGATCAAAGTAACGGCTTTAGAAAGAGAAGGCGGCAACCAGAGGCGTTCATCAAGATAAAGGGAAATGAGCAATTTTGACAGTGGTTGGAGCAGACAAGGAACAAGATGGGTTTCAAGAGGCGAGGAAACTACATCATTTGCAGCCATCCCTGCTTCCCTTCGAGAGCATGGAGGTGGCGAAACTGAAAGAGCTTCCAACCAATCCCTCTCCTCCACAGTAAAGGCTGGAAGAGGAGGACGTTTGCTATGTGAAGCTTTCTTTCCAGAAGCAGACAATACTTCTTGTAAGGGGAAGTTCCTCCTCAGGGCAATTATGGCTGCTTGAGTACAAAGAGCTTGAAGATCAGCACCAGCAAAGCCTACAGTTCTTTTCGCAATCCAACTGAGCAATGAACCAGTAACCGGCTTCGGCCACCTTTGTGTGTGAACTGAGAGAATAGCCTCCCTGTCCTTGACTGATGGCAGAGGAAAATAAATTTCCCTATCAAACCTCCCAGGCCGTCTCAAAGCTGGATCAACAGCATCAGGACGATTTGTTGCACCTATCACCACAACTGAACCGCGAGGTTTTAAGCCATCCAATAGAGCGAGCAAAGTTGAAACAACTGAATTATGAGTCTGATCCTGCTGCCTAGTGCGGCAAGGTGCTAAACCATCTATCTCATCAAAAAAAATTATGGATGGTTGAGATTTCTCAGCAACCTGAAACAGAAGTCTCAGCTGGCGTTCAGCATCACCGACATATTTTCCCAAGCAATCCGCACCTTTGCGAGCAAAATAGGCTATCCGTTTATCACCACGAGAACATGAACCAATTAATGCACGTACTACTAGAGTTTTACCTGTTCCAGGGTATCCATGCAAAAGAACACCCCTAGGAGGAGTAATCCCTAAATTACTAAAAAACTCAGGATATAATAATGGTAAAATGACAACCTCCTTCATGCACTGGATGACGTCTTGAAGACCAGCAACAGATTCCCAACCCTGAAAAGGTATGTCACTTTCAGAGTTTGAGCCTCCAATGTACACAGGCGCAATTCTTAATAGATCGCGATGAAGCCTCTTGCTCTCACGTTTCAAAAACTCTTCATCCTCGCCACAGTTCTCTAACCATTTTTCTTCTGCTTCAAGATCCTTCCGCCAAGCATCATTTGACAGCTTTCTCGTTTCCAACTTCATTTTCTTAACTTTCATTTTCTTTATCCGGTGAAAATATTGACTCCCATGAGGCTGGAAGAGATGCCGGTGATCTGTGCAGGCTATGAGAAATTTACGATGATCAAAAATGCAACCATTAGCTCGTGCACAAGGCTGCAAAAATAAAGAATGCATAAGAAAATGAGGATAATTTAATGAAGTAACTTTGATGAAGAAAATTTAATCTGGAAGTCACTACTGCATTAAATGACCGCAAAATAAAAGAAAAAAGAGATATTGACAACCAACCAAGTGGTAAGTTTTTGGACACCGATCAACACGACATCCAATTGTTGCCCCTGCCCTCCCACAACGGGTGCATTTCAATACTCGTCCTCGGCAAAGTGCTGCCCGAACATTCTTCAAGCATCCCAAACCAGCAAAATAAACCTGATAACACAAATCAGAATGAATGGAGATTTAGTTCGACAAAATAGTTAAAAGAAAAATAAACAAAACAAGTATGAAATTCCTGCAGCAAATACATTAAGCTAATGAAGCCAATTTAAAAAGTATGTGTAGCGCATATAACAAAAAAAGGTGTTAAAAAAAAAAGCAGTTAAGATTGTAGCTTACTTCCTACTAACATGGTCCATCATATAGCAAGACTCGAGATGGTATAATTTTGAGCCCTGATAATCTTATAAACACAAAATATCAGTAAGCATTTTCAACAAAGTACTAAGACCACCAAGAATTCAGCTAACGAACTCAAATCAAAATCAAGTGCCAATTAATATGCTTATCAAAGGAAGACAATAAAAAGTATGAAACAATCTTAGAGGAAGAAAATAGGAAATATGGAACTAGACTACTAGTGGCTTCCGCATAAATACTAGAATTTCAAGAGGAAGAGCAATAATAAATTTCAGTAAAAAACCCTCCCAAAACCTCTCCGCCAAACGTGGGGTAAAGGGACTTCAGGAAGACAAATAAATATCACCAAAGAATCTCTCCACAATCTTTCACACGTGGGCTAAGAGGGACGTAAGGAGAACAGCAACTGTGAAGTCACTAACAGCAGCATGGATGATCAAGGCTGACACAATAACAATAAAAGAACAACGGAAACGATTCACTGTTGATCTGAACGTGGTGAGGCAACCAGCAAATTCAGCAAGAACTATGAAAGTCAGAACTCAGAAGCAACTAACTCAATACAAACAGCAATCAAAGTTATCTGCTTTCTGCCTAAGAATTTTCTATTCAGGAAATTCCAACCAGTAACTACCTAAGGAATTTTAAGCAAAAAAACCCATGTGCCACCCAAAGAGGATGGTTACAATTAAATCAAAAAAATTCAAGCAAATGCCCCACCTCAGTAGAGTCTAAATAGTGTTTACTATTCCAGTTCTCAACCAAAGGTCCAACACAAACATTTTGGTCAAACGGCCAAACACAAAAAGCAATCAACACATTCAAAACATCCAGCAGATCCATCTTAGGGTCTACCTCCACAAAAAAGCAAAATTTTCAAACATTATCAAGTTTTTTCACCACAACAAGAAGCAAAAGTGTTTGGATGACAAAGAAACTAAAGGAAAACAAGTTTGAATGACAAAAAACTAAAGGAAAACAAGGTTGAATAACAACAGTGCTCTATGAAGGAAAAGGTGATAGCATACCAATCAGAAAAACAAACATCTAATTGCTAATTCTATATCATCCCCAAAATATGCTTTATATTTTCAAAAAAGGGTGGTTTGACCGAGGCTATGTACTTTAATAGAGCGGAATGAAAATATTGGATTCATGTCGCCAGTCCCAAGTAGTTGGGAAAAAGGCTTCTTGTATTTTCAAAAAAGGATGAAATGGGAATGTGGTGAAAAGCACATTTAAAAGGGCTTTTCTGGAAAATGGTTTTGGAAACCATTCCTAATAAATTTTAAAGGAACCTAAAAGGGAATTGCTACCTCTGCAAAAACTTGGGTTTATTAATAACAAAAATGTGACATGGAAGTTGCTATCTTTGTAATAACTTGGGGTTTACAAGTCACAATTAAACATTGGCTATTTTGATAATATTTTTTTTCTTACCCTTTTTCTCTCTGCTAGACGATTTGGAAAAAATTAGGGCTTTGGCTTTGGTTTTCACGTGAAGGGGGTACGGCCACCATGGAGGAGGGCCAGACCTCCTCCCTCACGACGCCGGCAAGCGATCCCAGCCGGATTATGACCCCTACACGACCTACCTTTAGTAGTTTTTTAATAATACCGCACCTTCGTCATTTAAAAATCTGTAGTTCCACAAAGAATGTCGAGGGGTGAAAGTTTCTATAATGGAAGAAGATGTTGCAGAAGAAATTGCGTTTTGGAAGACCTCGGTGATGGGTTATGTTATGGGAAAAAAGCCTTACTATCCATACTTCAAAGCGTTTGTAGCGAAATATTGGTCCAAGGATTTTACCCTTGTGTATTTGAAGGATGGTTTTTTTATGGTGAGGTTCAAGAATGAGAGTGCCATACAAACTGTATTATCTCGAATTCACACTTTTGAAGGGCGTCCAATCATATTGAAGAAATGGGATGAGAACGTGAACTTGGTTAAGGAAGTGATGGAGACAGTGCCTGTCTGGTTACGAATACATGATCTGCCAGTCCATTGCCGTAATGAGAGTTCTGTTTCTAAGATATGCTCTACATTTGCTAACCCTATATATATGGATGACCCTGAGATCCATCGTGACAAAAGTCAATTTGTAAGAGTTATGGTGGAAGTGGATGTTAAGGAGGAATTACCGAATGATATGATTGTGGACATACATGGCTGTGACTGTACAATTGGGCTTGAATATGAATGGAAACCTACATTGTGTGGGGTTTGTAAGAGAGTGGGTCACACAGAAGCGCAATGTCCACAGAAGATAGGCAGACTAAACCAAAGAAAAGAATGGAAAAATGGGTGGTCAAGCAAAAGGGTAAATTGATTGAGATAGAAGGTGAAGATCAAGTGGTCGAACAAATTACTGAGAGAGTTGTGCAGGTGAAACCCACGAAAAATCTGGTTACTACAAATGCTTTTGATGTGTTAGGAAGTATTGAAGAAGACAAGGATCAAAGGATTGATGATGAAGTGGTTGTTGTTGACAAAATAGAAAGTGATACTACAGGTGAGGATTTGACAGAGAAAAATCAGACAACGAATGAAGTTTTACACCTGGTGGAAGTTAATAATGAAGGGGCTGATGAAAGGAGTAATGGCCAAGAGGTTAATTCTGCTTTGGAGGTGTATCAACATATAACTCCAATCCAAGTAATCCATCCACGTCTAGCAGAGGAGGGCAATGAGATTTCACAAAATAGACAAGAGCTGGTTGTTATTGATGGTGACAAGGGGGGCAATTACTCAAAGAATTTGGATGTCAAAGGAGAAGGAAAGATATCAAGACAAAGAAAGGAACCTCAGATACCATTATCAGATAGGGTGACTAGGGGTACGAATGTTAGCAGTGGTTCGCTGCAACCTTCTTCTCAATGTTAGGAGTTTGGAACGTGAGAGGCCTTAATAGGTCTCCAATGCAAAAGGAAGTTAAGCAATGGATAATTGAGAATAATTTTGCTTTAACTGTCCTTGTTGAAACTAGGGTTAAGGAGGAAAAAGCTAGCAGAATTCAGAAAAAAATTTGTCCTAATTGGTCTTGGGTGGCAAACTACAAGGCAAATGAGTTAGGGAAAATCTGGTTTGGCTGGAATCCTGTCTTGTTTGATGTGGTATTGATGAAAGAAGACTCTCAAGCTATGTTATTCCATGTCAAGCACATTATTTCTGGTTTTGTGGTGTATGTGTCTGCTGTGTATGCTGCTAATAGGGTAGTCACTAGAAGAGAATTATGGAGATCTCTCAAGGGTCATGAAACTGTGATTGCAGGGCCATGGATTGCTTTGGGTGACTGGAACATGGTTCGGGCTAATAATGAGAAGAAGGGGGGTAGGAGGGAATCTCAGAAGCTGTTGGATGAATTTAATGGAGTGATCTTTGATATTAGAATGGATGAGATGCCTATTAATAATGGAGATTGGTCATGGTGTAACAAACAAAAAGCTCAAAAAAGGATTAATGCTAAACTTGATAGAGTGCTGATTAATCCTTGTTGGTTACATAAATTCATTGATGCCAAGGTTACCTTAACCCCAGCTTCTTTATCAGATCATTATGGTTTAGCAATTCACATGAATTTTGGAGTTTCTGCAGGTCCAAAACCTTTCAAATTTCTGAAAATTTGGTGTCTTCAAGACGAAGTCAAAGTGGTTGTTTCTGAAGCTTGGAAGACAGTTGTTACAGGGAATCCGCTACATGTTTTACAGAAAAAGCTTAGAGAAGTTAAAATTGCTGTGAAAGTTTGGAATAAAAAGAAGGGGGTAATGGCTGAACAAGTGAAGACAGCTAGGGAGTAGTTATCTAAAGTTCAAATGGTAATGTCGCAGGATCCAGACAATTCTGTGTTGATTGATCAGGAGAAGGATGCTAGTAGTACACTTCAACGTTATTTGGATTTGGAAGAGATTCTGTGGGCTCAGAAGGCTAGAGCTAATTGGCTGAAAGAGGGGGACAAATGTACAGCTTTCTTTCATAATGTGGTGAAGCAAAGAAGATGTAGTAATGCAATTACTGCTCTGGAGAATACTACAGGTGATGTGTCCACTGATCCTAACATTATTAAGGACTGGTTAGTAGAATTTTATACTGAATTATATAATGCTAATGAGGGAGTGAATGATGCAATTATTAATCCCAGAAAGGTGTTATCTCAGGAAGATAGTTGTAGTTTAGATCAATGTTTTTCTGTAGAGGAAATAAAAACTGTGGTGATGCAATTTAAAACTGATAAAGCCCCGGGGCCTGATGGATTCCCTGCTAGGTTCTATCAGAAATTTTGGGAGATTGTTGGGCAAGATGTTGTGAATGCTGTTTTGTATTTTTTTTAATAATGGGAATCTACCAAAGGGAGTTAATGCAACCTTTCTTACTCTTATTCCTAAGAGTAATCATGGAGATAAAATTGCCAATTATAGACTCATTGCTTTGTGTAATATTACTTACAAGATCATAGCCAAGCTGCTTGCTAACAGACTGAGTAATGTGTTTCCCAATCTGATAGGACCTGAACAATCAGCTTTCATAAAGTCTAGAAGATTACATGATAATTTTTTGTTGGTGAATGATCTTGTCAAAGGGTTTGGTAGGAAGAATGGTGACCCTACTGTTGCTTTAAAGATTGATCTTAAAAAGGCTTATGTTGGAGGTTTATTCAGAAAGTTCTTCACAGTCACGGGTTTAGTGGGAAGTGGATTACATGGATTATGGGGTGTATTTCTACTGCTAATTTTTCTGTGCTTTGCAATGGGGTACCTGCAGGATTTTTTCAAGCTTCTAAAGGTCTTAGACAAGG